CCAAAATGTAATTATTAGTAGTAATAGAGCCAGAAAGGTGTCAGTTACTAGGGCTAGTGTCAAGTTAATTACTCTCTTTAGGATATTATCAAAACTGATTAATTGGAAGTCAATGGTACTGTCTATACCAAAAGGGTAGGCAGTAAGAATAGTCATGCTACTTCTACAAAGTGTCAATATCAGGCGTGGCTTCAAAGTCAAATTTGTGGTAAAGTGGAATTTTAATTGGTGGAGGAGGCAGATAGTGTGAAATGGTGATCCAATAATAACGTGAAGTCCATGAAAGCCTGTGGCTATAAAGAATGTTGAGCCATAGATTCCATCAGAGACAGTAAAAGGGGCCTCAAAATATTCTAAGATTTGTAGGAGGGTCAAGTAAATACCTCCGGGAATTGTAATGATAGTGCTTGGATTATCTGCTTTTGACTACCTTGTGTCCGGCTGTGGGGAGCCCAAGTAAATGAAACTGCTGATGCACGTAATACAGATGTATTCACGAGGGGTACTTCTAATGTGTTTAGGGGAAGAATGCCTGTTAGGGGTCAGTGTCCCCCTAATTCTGGAGTTGGGGCTAGAGTAGGGTGGTAGAATGTCCAGAAGAAACCAGTGAAGAAGAATACTTCTGAGATAATACATAGAATTATTCCATATTGGAGGCCTTTCTGGGCAATTGTTATGTGGTGGCTTTGAAATGTACTTTCTCGGGTAATGTCAGGTCATGATTGGTACATAGTGTGTTGGTTAGCAGGCCTAGGGTTAAAAGAGTGATAGAGTTAAAGTGAAATCACATGGCCAGGCAAATATATTCTGAGAGCTAAGAGAGCTCCTGTTAGTGATCAGGGGCTTTTATGTTTTCTTTCTGTTTGACTATATGGTAGGCATATGTTCGATGGGTCATTATGTATTGTCATATAGATAAAGGCTCACTGTTAGGGTGAAGACAAAAGCCTGAATAAGGGCTACAGAGAATTCAAGAAGGGTTAGTAAGATTAGAATAATGAGAGCGATTGAAGCTGTGGGGAGACTAATAGTTGATAGTAGTAGTATGGCTCCTCTGATTAAATGCGTTAGTAGGTGACCGGCTGTAATGTTGGCTGTTAATCGCACAGCTAATGCGATTGGTTCAATGAATAGGCTAATGGTTTCAGTGATCACTAGGATAGGGATAAGTGCTCTAGGTGTGCCTTGTGGTAAAAAGTGAGCTAAGGAGAAGCTTGTAATGACTGCGCCTGCTCATAAGGGGATTGCTATACCTAGATTTATTGATAATTGGGTAGTTGGTGTAAATGAATGGTGTAGGAACCGGAGGAGATTGGTCAAGGCAATGAAGAAAATTAGGAATGTCCATATAACGGATCAGGTTTGTCCTTTAATGTTATGGGTAATTATTATTTGTTTTAGTACAAGTTCAACTAATCATTGTTGAAAAGAAATCAATTGGTTGGTAATTAGATGACTGAAGGTTGGAAATAGTATGGTGGGAAATAAGAGGATTAATAGTGCTGCGGGTAAACCTAGAATTGTTGGAGTAGTAAAAGAGGCAAATAGATTTTCATTCATTTTACTTCTCAAGGGGTTTTATGTTTTTGTGTTTTTTTATTTTTGGTGTAAGTGAAATTTGATAATTTTAACTGAATAATGGAGAATAAAGCTATGATTATTGACGGGCTAACAGTGGATCACATGAAAATATCTAGTTGAGGCATTCACTGCAGAGAGGCATGGATACCCTCAGTCTTTAACATTGAAGGTTAATGCTGGGTAGCTTCATGGTGATATTATAGTGCGAGTATGGATCAGGTTTAGAAGTATTTGAAGGGGATTAATTCTAGCACAATAGCTACAGAGCTGCAGTTAAACCCACAAATTTGTGAGCTGCCTGCAGTTAAGCATACAAAGCAGTCAATGTAGTTTGGTTTCAGCATCAGGGGTTGCATCTGTTTTGAGGCCCAGTGAGGGGACAGTTCATGAGTACAGGATGTCTTCAGATGAGATTAATGCACAGATGGGAATCTCTATTGGTAGAATTATTCAGTTATCAACTTCAAGGAGTTGAACTTCTCCTGGCTTTAAGTCGGCTGTTGGGACTATATAAAAATAAAAGCCTAACTCTTCATAGTCTGTATATTCGTAGCTTCAATATCATTGGTGACCAATTGCTTTAATGGTAAGAGAAGCATTGTTAACCTCATTTGTCATGTGCAGAATACATAGGGGTGGGAGGGCAATTAAAATCAAGATAATGGCAAGAAAGGTAGTTCAGTGAGTCTCGGTTTTTTGGGCATGTATGGTGCCAGTATGAGTTAATTTTGTGGTGAGTGTTAGGGAGATAATATATAGGATGAGGGAACTAATTAGGAAAATAATTAAAAGAATGTGGTCTTGGAAAGTGAGTCATTCTTCTACAATAGGGAATGTAGCGTCTTGAAGGCCTAATTGAACTAGATGAGCCATTGAGACATACAGAATTGAACCTATAACTTTGACAAAGTTACGTAATGCTTTTACTAATATCTTATCAAGAAAGTCACAGATGTTATGGGATTGGCTTGAAATCAGTCTTCTGGAGGTTGGATTTTTTCCTTTTCCATTTAGGTTTTCACGTAGGTTGGATCTTTGAATGTGCAGTAAGGTGGTGGACAGCTGTGAAGTCACTTTAAACTACTAGATAATTGTTCAATTGTTAGAACTTTTTGTTTTAAAGCAAAAACTTCTCAGATTATAAATATTATTCGCATAACTGCTGTCAATAAGATAATGAGCCCATGGGTGAGTTGATACGTCATGTGATGTATGCATCAGGATGATCCAAGTAACATCAAGGCTGGACAGGCCAAGGAAGTGCTGTGGGAAAAGGGTTAAATTAACACCTATAAATATAATGGTGAAGTGGATTTTAGCATAGGTCTGATTAAGTGTATAACCTGAAAATAAGGGGAGCAGTGGGCAAAGCCTCCTATGATAGCGAATACCGCTCCTATTGATGGGACCTAGTAGAAATGGGCTACAACACAATATGTGTTATGTAAGACAATATCTAGTGATGAATTAGCTCATACGATGCTGGTTAGACCTGCTGTGAAAAGGGAAATGAATCCTAGGGCTCAGAGTATTGCAGGAGATCATTTGATGTTACTGCTGTGCAGGGTAGCTAATCAGCTAAGGACCTTGATACCAGTAGGGATAGCAATAATTATGGTAGTAAAGGTGAAGCATGCTCGTGTGTCTCTATCTATTCCCACTGTAAATATATGGTGAGCCCATATGATAAATCCTAAGAAAGCCAGTTGATGTTATGGCTCATACTATGCCCATATATCCCAATAGTTCCCTTTTTCCAGAGTAATATTACAATAAGGGAGATTATTTCAAAGCCTGGCAGGATAAGGTGGCCAAAGAATCAGAATAAACGTTGATACATGACAGGGTCACCCCTTCCAGCGGGGTCAAAGAAAGTAGTGTTGAGGTTACGGTCAGTTAATAGTATGGTAATACTGATAGCTAGGACTGGGAGAGAAAGGAGTAAAAGGATTGCGGTAATGAGGACTGCTCAGTTGAAAAGGGATGTTTGATGTTGGGATATGGCTGGGGGTTTTATGTTTATAATTGTGGTAATAAAGTTAAAAATGGCCCCTAACATAGAAGAAACTCCTGCCAAGTGGAGCAAGAGGATGGTTAGATCCACAGAGGCTCCTGCATGTGTCAGGTTTCCTACTAAAGGGGCATAAACTGTTCAGCCAATCCCAGAGCCAGGTTCTACTATTGCGGATGTAAGTAGGTGTAGGAAAGAGTGGGGGAGAAGTCTGACGCTCATATTATTTATGAGTTTATTATAATTATTTAAAAATGATTTTATTAATCATTTAAGGAAATCATTTAATAAAAGTTTTATTAAAACTTTTCAGAGGAAAGGTTTTAATTTTGAGGGTAAAACTGGAACTGCCAAAAAGAAAACAGAGACACACACACACATAGGCACACCTAAACTCAGACTGGTTACAAAGAAGGACGTGTCAGTCTTTCTTATTGCATTTGATGCAATGTGCAATTTTATGAAGGACTAAAGTACTTAGACCTTGCCATGTGCAACATTATGTAGCACATGGCATGTGGCAAGGATAGTACAAACAGTTCCCATATACCTCAAGCCCAGTTTCTTCTAATAACATCTTACATTACTACATTACTACGATACATTTTATGCTTTCTTTCTGTTGCATTTTATTTGAGGAATGTTTCTTGGTAAACATTTTACCTTAAGTAAAGTAGGCAAGTACTTTAGTCCCATAGAACATTGCATATTGCATCAAATTTATTTTTTACAATGATTGGAAGATTATCTATATTTGGGAAACACTACTGGTTTTCTGATTTTGCTTTGTGATTCCTTGTAGTGCAAGCAGGCAAATAATAAACAACTGTGTGGAGGAGCCAAATGACATATTTCAGATGGTCAATTTAATACACATTTTACTGAAAGCTTTCTTTCAAGGGCTAAAAGATATTGATTAAATTTGATGACATCTTAAGTCACATATACAAAACGTTTATAAAATCCTTCAACTTGATCCTAAAGATCAAACTTACATCAACAGCAGCACACTCAGCTACTTAAATATCTCATATGTAATGTGTAGCTTTAAATACCGCTAAGTTGGAATAAATATAACGTAGTATTCAATAAAAAATTCAAAGAGTAAAATAAATTTGATGAAATCACATTGAAATAATAATACTAAGAAAACTGCTGAGTGATAAGTAAATGAAAATCCTGGTTCTTGAAAATGTCATTGCAATACACAAGCCTTTGGTGAGGACAATTAAGACAGATAGGGAATAGAAATTCAAGCATTAAACAAAGAATATTCCCAGAATATGGAGCATTTCTCATGATTAATGAATACTAATGAGAATATCTTGGTAAAAGAAGTGCTAACTTTTAAAGATAGCTTAAATTACCAAAATAGAATGAAAAAGTAAAAGATTATTTGAGTAGAATAACTATGCTTCACATTTGAGCAGGCTGCCTGTAAAAAGCTGGGCTTAGAAAGTTTAATATGTGGCTTTACACAGACTTGTAAGGCTTAGTCTGCGCTGTACTACATGGCAGGCATTTTAGATTGTAAAAGTGGAATACTTGCTGTTTTTTGCCATTAAAGTCACATAACACTAATTTCCAAGATGAAAAAGACATTGTTATGTATTAAATTGTTTCTCCAAAAAGAGATGTTGAAATTCTAATCCCCAGTACCTCGGAATGCAATTATTTGGAAATCAAGTAATTGCAGATAGAATTAGTTAATTTAAGGTAAGGTCGTACTGCAGTAGGTTAGGGCCTTAGTCCAGTGTGGCAGGTGTCTTTAGAACAAAAGGAAAATGTTGGGAGGCCATGGTGGATGGATCACTTGAGGTCAGGAGTTCGAGATCAGCCTGGCCAGCATGGTGAGACCCTGTCTCTAGTAAAAATATAAAAAATTAGCCAGGCGTGATGGCAGGTGCCTGTAATAGCAGCTACTTGGGAGGCTGAAGCAGGAGGATCACTGAAACCCTGGAGGTGGAGGTTGCAGTGAGCCATGATTGTGCCACTCCACTCCAGTTTGAGTGATACAGCAAGGCTCAAAAAATAATTAAATAAAGAATAAAAGGAAAATGAAAATGATGTGAAGACAGATACACAGGGGAAATCTTTTGTGAAGATGGTGGCGAGATTGGAGTTATGTCGCTGCAAAACAAGGAACGCCAAAGATTGCTGGAGATGCTGAAGGCGAAGAGAAAGGCATTTGCCCCACAGCTTTGAGAGACTGTGATCCTGCAACACCTCAGTGTCAAATTTCCGGCCTCCAGAACTGTGCGACGATGAACTTTTGTTGTTTTAAAACACTCAGTTAGTGGTACTTAGTTATGGTGTGCCAGGAAACTAATACAAACATCATTAAGAAGAAAATTTTGAACCAATTTTATGCATCAATATAATTGTAAAAATAAAAGAAAAATGATAAATCTACTCTATCAATGTATTAAAAGGATAACATATACAAGTATTGTGTTCACAGAAATATAAATTTAATATTAGTAAATATATTCATGTAAATTTTCACTGCAATAGATCAGGAGAAAATGTCTGCTTGATTCCCTAAAGCTGAGAAGGGCCAAGCCTCTGAGTCTGTTGCCAACATCCTCAGTGTGACTGTCTGGCAGGGATGGGATCTGGGAGGACTCCAGCAGTTGTTCCCACCAGACTCCTTATAGATGTCCGCCTGCAAGGCTTGGCATTCAGAGAAAACTGAAAATTCAGCAAAAGTACAAGAAATTACTATGGAGGGAAAAAGAGGGCCTATATCCCACTGGAATCCCAAATTACAGATTGATAATACTCAGAACATCTGAGACAGCAGCTGAAGAGGAAAGACTCAGGAAGCAACTTAGCAAAGTTGTCCAGCCTTTGCCAGAAGAACAATGTGGCATTAACCAAGCTTTGTCTGAAGAACACCTTACCATTGACCAGCTTCAGCCAGAAGAGCAATGTAGCAAAATGGGCAAACTCCGTTACCGTTTAAAAAACAAAAAATGAAAGAAACATCAAACCACAAATCACAAGCAGAATGTGAACAGGTAAAAGCTAAGCATGCTGCTAAGAAACAAGAAATACAAAAATAAAATGGAGGAGAAGAGCTCAAAGATTCCTAAAGACAGAAGAAAATGCAAGTGTTTCAAATATTGAACAAAGAGACAAGAAAGGGCTAACCAAACTTGAATTTATAAATGAAGTATCTTTTTCATAAAACATATAAAAATAAATTAAATTTTGCTCTTAATAAAGCGTTAAGACATCTGCTATCTATTTGAATTATTTTGTATAAGTAATGTGCCTGCTAACAGTTAACTAAACTTGTCAACATAAACTGTATTGCCTAGCTAGATTAAATACAAAATGTCCAAATATTTTTGCTTTTGTAAAAGAGATTTTTTTCTTTTTATTAGAGACAGAGTCTTTAGTCACAGGCTAGACTGCAGTGGCGTGATCATAGCTCATTGTGTCCTTGAACTCCTATCCTCAGGAGACCCTCCCGCCTTAGCCTCCTGAGTACTTAAAACTACAGGCTGGTGCCAGCAAACCTGGCTATTTAAAACACTTTTTTTGTAGAGACAGGGTCTCACTTTGTTGCTCAGACTGGTTTCTAACTCCTGGCCTCAAGCAATTTTCCCCTTGGTGTCCCCAAGTGTTGGGGTGAGCCCAGCACCCAGTCAGAAAATTTTCTACATTTGCTTTAAATAATATAATTTGTTTATTATTTATTTACTTATGGAAGACTTACCTGAAGAACTAAAAGAGCTTTCTTCTGTTTGAGAGATAAGCTCAATACATAATAGGAAAGCACAAGCAGAATGTGAACATTCTTAACCGTACTTTTCATCTGAGCATGTGTGGAGCATCTGAGAATGTGAACATTCAAAGCTAAGCATGTTTTCGTATTATAGGAAATTCAAAGGAAATAAAATGTTTTGAAAATCAAGGTGCAGGGCTTTCCATGATACGTTTCAATTTTTCAGTACAGTAATCAGTTTTTATGCTTTTAAAATTCATTTTAATGACAGGGAAGGCAAAGACTCCCTTTTTACTTTATTTTGAATTAGGTATATATTGCAGGGAAATGGATTTTCCAGAAACCCGAGAGCAGAATACCTAGATGCTGAAACAACCTTCTTTTTTTCATATAATGATGTAGTGGTGTTCATAGAGCACAATTTGGTACAGAACTCAGAGAGTCTAATTGGAAGTTCACAGCTTCTTGGTCTAAGCATATAGCTTGTTAGTGTTAAAATATATGAGTTAACAAAAATATAAAATACCTAGAAGCAAGCAACAAGGATTGTGCAGAACTTACATAGGACAGCATGTGCTCATATATGTATATGTGAGTGTATATATGAACTGAGAGTAAACAAAGTAATGCTGAAAGAAATAAAATAATTCATAAAATGAGAGACTTCTCTAAAACATTTAATTTATAATTCCAAAACAGTGCTTTACGTATGCATGCACCTTGGGTCAGGAATAGACCAGAGACAGTAAAAAGGAAAAAAATATGTTATTTGCTTCTCTTTCACTTCTCCCTTTTTTCTGCAGAGAGGTCTTACCATATCTGATTCCTGACTCCACACATGCTCAGATGAAAAGTGCGGTTAAGTAATGAGGCTCTACGGCAATCGGGTTTAACGCTTACTTCTTTGGTTTAGGCTCTGCACTATATACTTTACAAATATCATTGGTTTAATCTTCACAACCAATTTCAAAAATGAAAAAGCTGAAAGCGCACAGTTTTTGTCCACAGTTATCCACAAAGTTATTAGAGAGTGTTTTGTTTTGTTTTAATACTGAAGGGCTCACAAGTTTTTAAAGCAATAGTAACAAAAAATTACCTTTAAAAAGTATCTGTAAGTAGATTATCTAGCAAAGAAATATTTTGAGGTGGGTGTGCCAGTTATCAATTTGTTGCCTTTCAGCTCCAGAAATACCTTCCTACACTTACTCTGTAATAAAAGACAGACATACCTTTAGTGTTTCTCCTTTACAGTGAGAACATTATTAAGCTTTCTTAGGAGAAAGTGCGGGAGGAAATTTGTAGGAGGAAGAAGCTTCTCCTGCTGGTACCTACAACAGCACACTTGGTCTGCAGTATGGGTGGGAAGGGATCTGGTGTGGCTGTGACCCAGGTTGCGATTCCTTAGTGACCTTGAAATCTTGATCCAGGCTGGTGAGCACCTTCCTGCGGCCTTCGACAGAGATGCTGTACCTGGCACCCCCACTTTCTCTGCACATATGGGCACTCAGCCATGAGCTGAGGCTCACACAAACCCTGGAAACTTACTGTGTGCCTCACCAGCTATTGCAGACCAGCTTAGACTTGGACAAAGCAGTGACCCTTGGTATCTTCCAGTGAATTGGAACTGTACCTTCATGAGGAAGTCTGATCTCTATCAATAGGAAGAGGAACTCTTTTTAAGATGTTTTTTCCTTGGGTATGCTCCCTCAGCCCTTGCATACTATGTGGAATTCTACTGTATTTCATAATTACTCTTATTATAGTTTAATAATTTTTTACATTTAATGCTCCTTGTTTAAATCACTGTGTGGTTTCAGTACACTGATAAAACCCAGACTGATACTTGTGGATGCCTTGTATTTTTTTATTGCATTTTAGGTTTTGGGGTACATGTGAAGAACATGCAAGATAGTTGCATAGGTACACACGTGGCAGTGTGTTTTGCTGCCTTCCTTCTCTTCACCTATATCTGGCATTTCTCCCCATGCTCTCTCCTCAACTCCCCACTGCCCGCTGTCCTTCCCCTATTCCCCCCAACAGACCCCAGTGTGTAGTGCTCCCCTCCCTGTATCCATGTGTTCTCACTGTTTAACACCCACCTATGAGTGAGAACATGCGGTATTTCATTTTCTGTTCTTGTGTCAGTTTGCTGAGAATGATGGTCTTCAGGTTCATCCATGTCCCTACAAAGGACACGGACTCATCGTTTTTGATGGCTGCATAATAGTCCATGGTGTATATGTGCCAAATTTTCCCTGTCCAGTCTATCATCGATGGGCATTTGGGTTGGTTCCAGGTCTTTGCTATTGTAAACAGTGCTGCAATGAACATTTTTGTGCATGTGTCCTTATAGTAGAATGATTTATAGTCCTCCGGATGCCTTGTTTTTAATATAAAATTCAATGAACTCTGTGATAACCACTGGGCTGCTTCATGTTAACCATAGGCTTTCAATGTTATATATAAAAGTGACCACAAAGAATATAAATTGTTCCAAGTTATGTTTTAGATTAATTTTTGAAGTTTGTTTTCTACTATCTTGTGAATTTTTCAGTCAGCTCTAACTTCATACCTTTCCCAGCTGTCAGGAATCTCAATATCAATCTCTTAATATTTCTAACACCACATATTGTGTCCAGGATTCCTGGGGGAGATACAGAGCTGTCCAGTAAGGGCTCTTGTAAGAGTAGGGCTCCTACTATTTTCTGGTAGGGTGGCATTTCAGTATTTTCATAACCTATTTGACATTTTAGAATGTTGAATATAAGCCCAGATTATTATTCATACTCTGTCCCTGTAGGGAAATACATGAATTTTGAATAAGCAGGAGGAAAGAAAATGAAGTTTAAATTTGTTCAAGTACACCTTAATTAAGTAATAGAAGATATACCACAGAGCCTAATGAAGAGTACATTAATGAAAATAAAACAACTATCCAGATGAACAAAATCTTTTGTTATTGCCATTTTTAGTTACAAGACATTGATATTTTCTAAACTTTAATCTTTATAAATTTTCTAAAAAAACAACATTTTTTCCAGTATAAGGTTCTTAACTCTCTTACAAGAACACAGCAAGCCCTGACGTATACGACTCTGTCCTTCCTATATTCTTCAATAACCCATGAACACCACATTCTTAGCAAGAAGAACTCAGGCATCCAAGAGAAGGAAAAACTCTTTTCTTAGATAAGCTATAGATGTATTTCTATTGTCTATTAGAAAAAAACTGGTTCTTAGGAAAGTCATTGATGATTTGCCGCAATTAATTTAGCAATTTCTTTGCTGAAAACAGGAAAATAGAAAATAATTCATTGCATTAACAAGAATAACAATCATCTATTTTTATATCAGATCAAATTATGAAGGCCAGAAGGCTGACTCATAGGACGAAACTCATCAATGACACACACCTCTCTAGCAAAGGAAAACATCCATTTCATTTCGCTCATATTCTGATATTGCCATTTGATGAAACTGAAGATTAATGTCAGTCAAAAAAAAGCAAACATTCAATTTGTGAGGTTTTCACTTACGTACTTCAGTTGAGGTGAGCTAACAACCACTTTGCTACTAACATAAAGCTATCAATAAATCATGCACCCAGAAATAAGGTGTGCATTTGAAGTAATGTTATCTGTCATATATATTGTTTCATAAATCCAGGTTCTTAGTAGTAGATGGAAATGTCAGCAAGCAGCCAGTAGTGGGCATGTTTTTGAAATAGCTGATCACTTTTAATGCTCTGCACTATTAACTCATATACACTATTTCCTGGAATTGTGTAAATGCTATTTGTTGTCTTGTGAATGTGGTTTTGTGAGGAGTCCTCGTATGTTGTTTCCTGAAATTCAGTCTTAGAGCTATCAGTCTCACCACATTACAGTGATAAAATTGTTTCTGTTACTTCTCATCCTACTGCTTTATCCAAGTATATTACCAAAGGGTGATATGCTCCATTTATGACCATATCCGCTTTTATCAGCCATTTACCATAGATAAGTGGTTATATTCCCACAGTAGTCCCATTTACTTACTTTATAGATTTTTAGGTCCCTGCAAACATCAAAAAGTTTCCTGTATAACAATAATTGTAGAGTCTATAGAAGCAAGGCTTTTTAGTTATTAGTGACTTCACAGAGTCATCAGTTTCTGTAACTTTTTAGTGTGCTCCTACTTTAAGAGTGAGTAATTTAGGCATTCACACTGGCTTGATTCATAGACAGAATAAATGTTTCTGAATTCATGAGTCAGAAACTCTGACCACACATTTTTATGCATATAACCATTTATTTCATGACACCACTGCTGGACAAGGATATTGGAAATATGATACTGGGATTTTAATCGGAGCTCTCCCATTTGCTACCCATGTGAGTCTCATCTTCTTTCAACCTCATCTTTAAAGTGAAGTAAATGGTACCACTCTTGCAGAGTTGTTTTGAAAGTTAAATGAAATCTTGTAGCATGTGAAATATATGTTCCTCACAGCAGTGACAAGAAATTAGGCTAAGCCTACTGGCATAGGACAGTGTCTCTATCTGATCCCTGTAGCAGCCAAAACTTAGCCTGTCACCACAAGACATCTTCCCTGTTCTACACTGGCTGATAAAAAGGTAATTAGCATATTATAATGATTACTATAATATTATTAGGAAGAATAAAGATAGGATATTCAATTTATAATGTATGCCACATATTGTTCAAGCCCTTTTCTATTAAGTGTGCACTAGGAATGAACTTCCATGACTTTGCTGTGCAGCAGCATTGTTGATAGCTGATATAATCTACTGTCAGCTGAATCTAAGCTACTTGTGAAGAAGACCTACAGTCATCTCTCATATTCTCAGGGGATTGATTCTAGGGCTTCCCACACATACCAAGATCTGTGGATGCTCAAGTCTCTTACATAAAATGGTCTACTTTTTGCACATAACCTATGTACATTTTCTCCCATACTTTAAATCTCTAGATTATTTATGGCACCTACTAAAATGTAAATGCTATGTAAATAGTTGTTACACCATATTTTATTTGAATTTTTAATACTTTGTTACTGCTCTTTATTGTTTTTCAAATATTTTCAATTTGCAGTTGGTTGCATCATGGATACAGAATCTGCAGACTTAGGGGCCAATGATACTTTTCATTTCTTTATGTTCTCCAGCTTACCTTCACATAGTAGTTACCCAGGACAGACCTTGAAACTCATGAAAGGTAACAAGATTTCAAGCTGTTTTCTCCCCATCTCTTGAGAACTCTGTAAATAGAGAAGACAGAGTTGTGGTGCAAACATGCCTGACAATGTCTGGGGTGTTGATAGCCACAGGCAAAGTTAGGGTACACTCCAGTGACACTTCTGCCTCCTAATATTTGGGGAACTTTCTTTTCCACTCATCTTCTTGCCCTTGACTATCACATTTATATAATAGGCATATATTCAAATATAATGAGTATTATGCTGTCAATTAAAGTAGAATGGTTTAATTTGGGATGAGAATAAATCTAAATCATTATACATTTTTTTCAGTTAGGCATAGGAAGGTATCAAGATGTGTATTTTTTCACTCTGAAATGTGTCTTCTTGTTTCTAATAAAAAAGAGATAATTCTAAAATAAAAGATGAAACCCTCTTCATTGTATGACTTTTACTGTTATTAATTTTTAAAAACCATAATTTAGTTTTTTATTATTTTTATATGTGCTTATTAAAAGGTGAAAGAATTAATGTTGATGGCTCCAGAGATTTAGGAGTGAGCAGAAGGGAATCCTCTCCCATTACAAATAATTAAACATTGAATAAAATGTAAAACACATTCTTAAAATATACAGCTGATTAAAAAAAAAAAAAAAAGAAAACAGAAAAAAAAGAAAACCTGTTGAGTGTTGGAAATGTATAAGACCTTGATCCAGAGCAGGGGGCTAGAGTTAATGATGCCATAATCTCAGAAAGTGAAAATAAGAAGAAACAGAAATAGAAGCAGACCCTAAAAGTTTGGAGAAAAGGTTCTGACCCCGTAGGGATCTTTGATTTTTTAAGTGTAGGAATTGAATCCAGGAACTCTAAATAAAGTTACATAGCTAAGACCTTGAGGTGGTGCCTACTCTGAAAATAAAACTAGAAAAATATCCTCCAACTAGCCTGGAGAAGCTGAAAGAGCTTGCATTTTGCCTGAGGTACAGGCTCACATTGAGGACAGGGGTGCCTTTTAAAATAGAAAATGTCAAAAAATGTGACACATATAATATATGTGAAATGTATGTTCCTTGAAGCAGTGACAAGAATGAGAGTGACAAGAATTTCCTACACCATTTGTATACCAAAAGTGATATAATTCAATAAATCAATAAAGTGACTAGCTTTCAGCATAGAATCTTAAAATAAACATGAAGGGTATTGGAAGTAAAAGAGAATCACTAAAATCATACCATTTGTGGTATAGGAAATCAAACTGAAAGAATAAACATAAAAAGTGATCCCTTCTGAAAACTATGAGGTATGGTAGCAGAAACAAATAGAAAACTGTACTGTAAGGCATACTCCTCAAATTGAGGACACGTGAGATTCTCGTCTGGGAAAAAAAATTGCACAAAAGATGAGGTCGATATGAAAAAATCATAAGAACATGACAAAATGAATCACCATAAGAGTGTATAGAAGATGCACAAATGTGAATTTGCGTTTTATTTAATGTACTAGATAATAAAATCTTAAATAGACTATAATTCAGAATCTTAAGAATATTAATAACCTAAAAATGCCACCAAATAAAATATAGGTCCACTAAAGAAAGAACCTCAGTATTCCCTCAGTATTCTCAGATCATGACAGAGAAAGTTTTGCTAAACATAGACTCAAAATTCAAAATTAGAAAATAATCTGTCATGCATGAGTGAGTAGAAACTGAAGATACCCATTTGAACTCTTAAGAACTTTAGATAATGTAGGTTCTTATGAATTATAAAAGACAACTTCTGTTTTTAAATGAAATAGAAGACAGAACATAAAATATGAGAAGACAACAAAATACAATTTAAAAGACCAGTGTATTGACCATATTAAATGTTTGATTTGGGTCACCCAAAAGAGAGGAGTAAATTTGACATAGCTCAATGAATCAATAAAATGACTATCTTTCAGCACAGAAACTTAAAAGTGAAGGGTAGTGGAAGTTAAAGGAACACTAAAAGCACAAAGAATGTGGAGCTAAAGTAGTGCTTATTGGTAAATGTATAGCTGTATACATCTACATTAAGAAGAAAGGCTTAAAATTAATAACAAAATAGTTCACCATTAGCTAGAGAAACAAGAGCAGATTAAAACTGAAGCTAAGAGAAAAAAGACAATACTATTGACTAGCAGAGAAATAAGTGAAATCAAGATTAAGATACAATAGAGAAAGTAAATAAACCAACAACTCAACAACATTCACAGATCTTAGGTAGCCTGACTAAGAAAAAAAATCCTCAAATTACAAAAATCAGGAATAAAATGAATATCACAATAGAACTTACAGATAAAAAAATTAAATTAGCTGAGTGTGGTGGCATATTTCTGTAGTCCCAGCTACCTTGGAGGCTGAGGTGGTAGGATTACTTGAGTCTGGGAGATGGAGGGTGCAGTGAGCTATGATCATACCACTGCTCTCCAGCCTGGGTGAGTGAGACTGTTTCAAATTAAAAAAAAAAAAAAAGATTGAAAAAAATACCATAAACATTGTATGGTAATAATACAAATGTAATAAAATAGGTAAAATGAACAAATACCTAGAAGGACATAGCTACCAAAACTAATCTCCCCCCAGATATTAAATTTAAATAGACTTATAGCATATATAGACATTTAATTGGCTATTGAAATTATAAAAATTCATACTGGACTTTTTTTCCAGAAATTGGCTAGGATTCTAAAATTCACATGGAAAAACAAAGGATCCCAAAGAACAAACAAACAAATATACTGATAAAGGAGAACAAAACTGGAAGTCTTACACCTGCTGCTTTCAAACTTCACTGCAAAGCTACAGTAATTAAGACAGCCTGCTACTGGCATAAGAAGAGACACGTAGATAAATGAAATAAAATCGACAGCCCAGAAATAAACCTTTTTGTGTATAATTAATTGATTTTCAACAAGAATGCTTAGACTATTAAATGAAGTAAAATAGTTTTTCTTCAACAAATAATGCCAAGGACAACTGAATATTTATGCAAAATAATCAAGTTGGACCCTTATCTCTCACTATCGCCAAAATCAACTCCAAATGAATAACAAATCCATGTGTAAGAACAAAAACTCTTGGAATAAAACTCTAAAGTAAAGTTTGTGACTTTGAGTTAGTTATCTTAGATATGACACTTAGGCTATATATTGTACTTCATCAAATTATGCTTCAAAGGACACCAGCAATAAAGTCAAAGGACAACTCCCAAAATGTCAGAAAATATGTGCAAATGACGTAACTAATAAGGGACTGAAATCCAAAATGCATAAAGACCTATCACAACTCAATTATAAAAAGACAACCCAATTTTTAAAATGAACAAAAGATTTGAAAGATTATTTCTCCACGGAGATATACAATTCAACAATAAGTACTGAAAAAATGCTCAAGTCAATTAGATAGCATTTCCTTCCTGCTAAGATGCCTAAAATGAAAAGACAATAACAAGTCTTGGCAACAATGTGGAGAAACTGGATCAGCACATTGCTGATGGGGCTGTAAAACAGTGCCACAACCTTGGAAAACAGTTTAACAATTCCTCAAACTGTTAAACATGTAGTTATCTTTATAACCCAGCAATTCCAATTCAAATATATATGCCCAACAGAGAGGAAAACATGTCTACATAAAAGCTTGTACAGGAATGTTCATAGCAGCAGCATTCATACTAGCCAAGAACATATAAACAAATCAAAACATGGTATATCCATACATGTGAAATTATATGGCAGTAAAACAAAATGAAGTATTGATATTTGCTATAACAGATGAACTTGGAAAACGTTATACTAAATAAATGAAGCTAGTTATGAAAGAGTACATATTGCATGATCTCATTTAGATAAAATATTCAGAATAGACTAATCTGTAAAGACAGAAAGAAAGATAGTGGTTGCCAAGGACTGGGAGTTAGGGTAGGGAGAATGAGGAGTGATTGCTAGTGTATGTAAGTTTTTTTGGTGTTGAGGGTTATAAAAATGTCCTCTAATGGATACTAGTGATGATTGCATAACACTATGAATATTCTAAAAAGCACTGAATTGAGTTTTAGAGGGAGCAAAGGGAAGGCAGAAGCAGAGGAAGAGGAAGAGACAGAAGAGTTAAGGAGAGGGAAGGATGGAGGGTTTGGAGGAAGGGATGGACCTTAAAAACAACACAGAGAGAAATTACGGTACATCTAAAACTAATGACAACTAGAATGACAGCTGACTTCACATCAGTAGGAATAAAAGAAAAATTATGAAAAATATATGTATATGTGTATGATAGAGATGGCACTATAAAAAATAAAATAGGGAAAGGATGGATTGTTCTTTAAAAATTACTGCTCATTATCTAGCTATTTACGTGACTTGAAACTTAAAACTGGACCCCTGTTCACAACATAGGGAAAATTTAAAGACTAAAATTTAAAAAGCAAACTTTTAAAATTTAAAATTATAATATATATATTATATAACTAAAATATTTTCTCTATAAACTTTATAAACATTATATATTGTGTTGTGCAGATATCAAATCCTGAAGCAAACATGCAGGATGTTTTTAATATCTGGGTAGTAAGTACCTAATTACCTTATTGTTCCCTGTACTTTCACTGTGCTTGAAATCTTTTCTAATTAAAAATAAATATGTAAAACTTTCTTTTTAACCTCAAAAAAATGAAAAATATCACATGCTTCTGGGATTATTAAGAATTAATTAAGCAAGCATAGGTTACCTTTCAATAAGTTTAGTACATATTTAAGGAAGGGATTTTTTTGGTGTTTGTTTTTGTCCTCCAGCTCTGAGAAGTTAGTTTCCAAATTAAATGAATTGATTGAAAATAACTTTGATGTCCTAAGATGCTCTTAAAAGACTGGGAAAGCAATTATCATTAAAATGACAATTTCTAAAATAATATTGATCTGTCTCTCTACATATTCTTACCCCTCACTAAATCTGTGGCTGGGAACTCACTAAGATCATCATTTTACATTTTATATCTACTAGAATATTTATTGTTTTTAGGATGACTATATGGGCATTATAGGAA